AATAATAATGATAATAATAATAATGATAATAATAATAATAGTAATAATAATAATAATAAATAATAATAATGGAACAAAAATTATTATGAGATAAAAGGAGACAGACTTACTGAGCTTTAAAATTACCCATAGTACAGATACAGAGCAGAAGTAGCATTGAGATTGGATAACAGTGAATTAGTACAAATAAAGGTCATGATCCGGAGTCCAAGTAAAGGTCATAATAAGATAATGAATGATAGGATAAGGGTGACAGGTGGTGATCGATCAAGTGGTTGTGGGATTAAATGCAAATAATGTTCCTATGAAATGGTACAATGGAATTAACTGAGTAAAAATGAAATTGATGTAAGTGAGAATTGATCAAATGCAATAAAATTATCACAAATGATGATATGATAAAGTAACATAGGATCATTGATCTTGTTAGTTCTGATAATGTGAAATGGAATGATTTTTAGCATTATTGATATAATTTTTAAATTAATTAGTGGTCAATAATTCAAGTAATTAAAATATTTTTCCAAATGTCCTTTTCAATGTCCATTTTCATCATTTTTTTCTTCACTATGTCAGAAATAATTCCATCATTTTTTTTCCTAAATTATTTAAATCAAATGTGAGCAAATAAAAGTTTTTCATTGAAATTTACATTTTTATGGTGATAGAATTAACTTTCCTTTTATAAATTAATAAATGAAGGTAATAATAATATTTTTTGCTCAATTCATTTAATTATAACTGCTTAATTTGCTCAATTTTAATTGATTAATTTGCTTAATTGGTATTGTACTCATACAAAATTATCATTTCCACTTCCATTTCTTTTTTTCTTTTGCTTTAACAAGCAGCTGTTAGCTATTTCTGATAGAATGTAAGCATTTTCTTCTTTTATAGGACAACTTATTCATTCTTTCCGTTTTTTTTCCCGGATTTCCGATGGTAATTTCGCCATTTACATTCCTTTTCTTTTTTTCCCTTTCCTTTCACTTTCGCCCCTTCTTCCTCTCTCTTTCTCTCTCTCAGTTAGTTAGCTTTCTTTTCGAAGTCCTTTTTTTTTACCTACTTTTTTTTTTTTAAATTCGAGGAAGATTTTTTTCTCGTTCTCTTTTTTTTTTTAAAAAATTTTGGCATCTTACATGGTTATACAAAGAGAGTATTAGGACTTCATATAAGATATTCAAAAATTAATGGAAAAACTCAAAAAATTTTTAATTTGTAAAATATTTGCAGCCATAAATTGATGAATTTTATTATCAAATTGCTACTTTTTATATTTAATTTTGTTTAATTTTTTTGAACGAATTTTATGTAATATTTGATATTTTTTATTAAAAAACAAAGTAATCACTCCTATTGGAAGTTAATAAAAATTATTAATTTCAAATAAAATTTGATAGAAAATTTAATTAAATTATTAAATTTGTTGTAAAATTTATTGATCTAATCTGTGGTAATTAATCAATTGGTTGAGTGTGAAATCAACTAAGAAATGTTATTTTGTAATAAAGAAAAGAAGAAATTTAGGATCAAATTATAATCCAATTTATTATTAAATGTTAGAAAAAAATCGTAAGATTGAAATAGGACTATTATTCTGAAATGATAAATTATGATTTGGGAAAAAAAATGCATAATGAATTATTCACAAAAGATAAGAATGATTGAAGTTAAAGATAAACGATTGTAGTAAAATAAAATTTAACAATAATAATACTAATTATAATATTGTTTCAAAAGAATAATGATAACAATCTTATCATAATTTCTAAAATGTTGACTGAAACTTTCAGTCTGTTAAATTTTATAAAAAATAAAAAGTCAAAAAAAATTAGTTGTTAACAGAAAGCATGCAAGTTTGTTTAATTGATGCGTTACCTTAGTGATAAATGATTTCCTCTGTAAAAAAAAGAAAGTTAAAAATAAAGTAGTTAGAAATATTTTCGTTTTCATTTTTTCCCATCAATTATCATTAATTATTATTATTATTATTTCACTGATAATAAAGATTATCTTTGTTATTATTGACATTAAGCTATTATCTTAACATTTGGTCTGTTATCATTTCTTTTTTATTTTTTTTTTTTGAATGTTCAACTGTTGAATAGTTTTTTGTAACTCAAGAATATACTTTTGTTGCAAAAAAAAAAAAAAAAAAAAAGAAGGAGAGAGAGAGAGAGAGAGAAAGAGAAGTATTTTGTTTCGTTTCTCTTTAATATCCTAGAATTGTACTAATCAATTATCCTGGCTTATTGATAGCGATTTCATTCTCAAAAATCACCACAATTTTTCTTTAAACATTTTCTAATCAATGAATAAAAGTGGGATGGTTGTGGAAAATTTTCGATATTTTAAATTTTATAAATATATATTCCAATGATATGAGTAATATTCATTTCTGATATGAGTAATATTCATTTCTTATTTTTTCTCGAATCATTTTTTTCTTTTTTTAATTATTTCAAGCAAAAAGAAAGGAAAAAAACTCATGGAAAATGCTAATATTGTTTTCTTATCATTTCTAATTATTTATATCTTATTTTATTTATCACCTTATATTTCTTTTTTCCACTTTTTTTTTTCATTATCATATGCAATAAATAATGTGATAAATTACTTTTCATTTATCAGATATAGAAGTGTATAGTAAATTATTAGTATTTCTCTTCACAAAAAAATTAGTTATACGGTAAATGGTTTTTCATTTATTATATATAAAGTTGTATAGTAATTTATTAGCTTTTTTGCATATTATTTATGTCATTAATCAGTTTTTTTGTTATTATCTTATTCAAATATACAGTAAATTATTAGTTACATTCGTCTAATTAATTGATTTGTCTCATTTTTTCTTTTTTTTTTTTATTAGTATTTTAAGTTGTAAATAATCTGCTGTTTCTTTTTTCTTTCTTTTTCACCGTATACTAACTTTTTCATTACCACATTGAAGTATACGGTAAACGTTTAATGCCATGTGCATTTATCGCAGCATTAATTATTGTATTATTACTTTTTTTCTTTGCTGCGATAACTTATACGGCAAGCCATTTGTTATTTTCATCTAACATATCATTAGTCTCTCATATATCTTATCATTAATTCCTCCATTGCTCTATTAAATTTTACGGTAATAATTAATTTTTTTCATTTACCGTATACAATGTTACAGAAGGAAAAAACTGATGCATAAAACTTTTGTTAATTTTTGATCTTTTAAGAAAACATTTAATTTATTTTTGAAAATGTAATTTTTTTTCAAGTACTTTGGTAAAAAATTTAGTTTTTCTGATTTTTAATAAAATTAAATTTTTTTTTGTCTAATCTTATCAATAAATGATTTAAAGTTTTCTCGTTCTATACGAAATGTTTAAAATAGTTTTATCAATACTATTTATAAAATTGAAATCCATCTTTTTCGTCCGTTTTCTTCCTCTTTCCTTCATTTCCCTTTCCTTTTTTTTTTTAACATAGTTCAATATTTTGTTCAAAGTGTGAAAATTTGTTTACAGTAAAAATATATAAAAAGGAAAAGAAGAAACATTTCGAAATAATTATGAAACCAATCAATTGATCAATCAGCAGATCGATCAATAGATCAATCAATAAGATAATTTTCAATGAATTCAATAATCGATCAATTTTTAGCTTTATTCCTGTAAGGATAATATGAAACAAAAAAAAACTAACTTTTTTTCGCACTTAATGTTCATTTTTATTTTTTTAGTTACTTCTATTTATTTAAGAACAGAATTGAAATAAACATAATACAATCAAATTGAATTCTCAAACCACAAAATTAACGATGCATCGAACTTTTCTTTTTTTGTTTTACTTTTTAAATTTCTGTAAGTTTTATCATTATGCAATTTATGTATTTAAATTTGCAACAAAATTAAATTTAAATGAGAAACTTGAAATTAAACTAAAAGTTTTGAATTCGTTCTGTTCACTTTTACCTTTATTTTCACGTCCATTTTGTTATCAATTTCATTAAGCAGTCATAAAATTTTTCAGTTTTTTCCATGTCATATTATTTGAAAAATTGAAAAATGTATTTCATTGCCATAATTTTTCTTTTTTAATTAAAAAATTGGACTGTTAGCATTAATTGAATGTTACAGTTAATTCTTTTTGAAATTTTTTGCTCCTTGTAAATTTCAGAATTTTGTTTTCAATTCTATTTATTTTCTTTTTTTTTTTTTGCTAAGATTTTTTCAATTATTCCAATAGAATTTGTGACATTACTAGGCAGTTATTTCAGTCTGTTACTGTAGAAGTATTTACTGCGCCAATTTCAAAAGGAAAAAAGCGCCTATCATATTTCAAAAAATTGTAATTTTGCTATTAAAAAAGGATTTGAAAAAAAGGTATTTTTAAAAAAATAACAGATTTAAAAAAAGAAACGAAGAATTAATGCAATTAATTTAATCACAGCTTTATAATTCAATTACTGCATATATATACAATACATATGAATTTATGTGCATATATTTGCCAATTAGTAGGATGTTTTCAAAAAGTCATTTGAAAAGTCCTAAACAAAAACAGCAACAAAGGCGGCATCAGCAACAACAACAACAACAACAACAACGACAACAGCGCCAACAACAGCCACAAAAGCAACAACAACAACAGCAAAGACAAGAGCGTCAACAACAACAGTTACAAAAACAACCACAACAATATCATCAGCAAAAATGTCAACTTCAACAAGCGGAACAGTTACAAACGACGATAAAAAAGGATGGAATTAGTATTAATTCAGGACGAATCGGTGAACGTTTGGTAATTCGTACAACAACGCTTACAGGTCAAAGATTACGATATACTGTTACTCGACCTTTTCTATCAGCTGAACCACGATTATATCATTCAAAATATCACTCTAATGATACTTTTCATCAATCATCTTCGAAAAATTCCATCAAAAATCATTCAGTAGAAAGGGATCGAACATTATCATCATCATCCATCAATGATACGTGTGAAATATTTACAGAAAAATTTTCAACCAAAACAAATAATGGTAAAAGTAAAAGTGACATTGAATTTATCATTTCTAAGCATCCTAAATTATCGATTGATGAAAATGGCGATAAACATACTGGTTATTGCTCATTTGCTCAACGATTTCGAGAAATGCAATCAATGACTTATGGTTATCCAAAGAAGTCAATTTCAACATCACAATCTGGAATAACCCCTAATACATCACATATACCAAGAATTAATTACAGAGCAATAATTACTTGTAGTTCAAATAATATTGACAAAAATTCACTGCCAGTATTCGAGAAATCTCGGCAGCAAGTTAACCAATGTGATATTCCCTACAAACAAACACAATCATTATCACCATTAATTAAAAGTGATAAAGGTATGTTTTGATAGTGGAACTGGTAGTAGTAATAATAATTGAATGGTAGAGTTTGTAAAATTACAAAATTTCAAAAAAAAATTTTTTTTCAAGCAAATCATTTCATTCAAATTTATATTTTTGTGGTTATTGCTCATTTATGATAATTTTACTGATAAAACAACTCATTAATTATGAATACAAATGATTTGTTAACTTATCGTAACAATTTTTTTATTAATTAATTATCGTAGCGCTTATTCTTTGAAATTTTTTTTGTTTTTCATTTCAAATTAATTTGATGAAATTACTTTCTTTGCCATAATTTTCTTAAACTGATCGGATTTTGAATTAATTCTTTTCTCAATTCTCTGCATTTCTCAATAACTATTGTTATATCTTCTTATCATTGTATCTTCTTATCAAATTAATTTAACTGAATCATTAGGTTTATTTCTTTTCCCTTAGCTATTGATTTTATTAATTAACATAACATCACTACTACACCTTTTATTTCCTGGTGCTTATTTTTCTTTTTTTTTAATAAAAATTAAATTTCTTTATCTTATCCAATCTATTCTATGTAGTAATGCATTAGACATTGATATATCTTAAAATTGATAAATTAGCCAGTCCAATTTATTCAAATTTTATTCTATCATTCATGAATTCGACTATTTGACTCACAGCCATTATACATCTCGTTATAAAAACATAATTATCAGTGAAATGAATTTCATCTTTTCTTTTTTTGATTTCAAATTAAACTTAAATTTATGAAATTAGAAAAGCCGACAAATAATATGCAAAATATAAACAAATCACCGAATCTCCAAATTCATAACAGAATTGTAGTACAACATTGCAAATGATAAAGTTAGTAATCATTTTTATTTCAATAATTATCATAAAACCTTACTAATTTATTTTCTCAAAAATAATTTTTATAACAATTAGAAAATTAAATTATTTTAAAACATATGCAACTTTTTTGTTAAAAAAATCTTTTTAATTATTAAAATAGTTAAAAAAAAGCAACATTGGAATAATTAGCGCCTGCAACTTGTCGTAACATAAATAATCATATTGTTTCTATTAAAATATGAAATTATTTACTAAATCTAAATATTTTATTGGCATTCCGCATTATTTCAAAATTGTTTTAATTTATGCTATGTTTTTTCAATTATAAATATTGCAAATTATATTTCAATTATATTTTAGACAAAACAATTTTGCTCTAATTAATTATAAGTGAAAAGGTGAGTGAATAGAAATTGTTACATTTAATATTTCGAATAAAATTATTGAAAGAGTGATGTAATTTATGTTAAAAACCACTTTCATATTGCCTAATTAGTTAATTAACAATAGCGGCACAAATTAAAGAAGGTTGTAAATTAAGTGCTATATTAAGTTATAATTTATCAAGCATAATTTTTATTGACATTGAATAAATGAATTTTATTCATAAATGATTCCATTAGAATGATAATGTAGTTTATGTCGAAAATCATTTTAATTAATTAATCAGTTAATTGGTTAATTATATTGGTGAAAATTAGCTAGCAAATTAGAATTGCAATGTTTTATTAAGCTGAGCATTATTTTCATTAATTTGCATAGAAAATAACTAATTTCTTCCTTATATAATATATTATTGAAATTATTCATCCAATGCATTTCCTTTTCTTGATAGAAAATTCGCTTAATATATTAATAATTAAAATAATTAGGTACAATGAAGAGGTTAATTTTGCATGAATTAAATTTCCAAATTGATGTGAAATTTGAAAGATAACACTGATTACCCAACATTTTGTCTGATGCTATAAATATACATATATATATTTCCAAAGTGATTGAGCAATTAATTCATTTGTTTCATTTAAGTGTTTTAATTTATAAAATAATTGCAGTAACAGTTGACATCGTTCATTGTCGTTGAAGTATTTGAAATTTAAAGTGATCACATTAATTTAAATACATTAAATATATCAACATCCTTTAACCCGTATATTTTATTCATATAGTTTATATATACTTTATAGTTTATTTGATAAATGGATGAAAAATTTAAAAATGGGATTCAATTTCTAATTTAGAAATAAAAATAACTGTTTACTAAATATGAGTGGAGAAAAAACTATAATATTTCATCTGCAATATCAATTCATTTCACAACGATTTCATTTAAAAATAAAAAGAAAAAACGGAATAAAAAGTAGTAATAAAAGTACTAACAGTAAAAAGTAAAGTATTAATTAGTCGAAGAAATATTATTAGTAAAGTATTAGTAATAAAAGTTAGTTACTACTGGTAAATAGTAAAAGTAAAAAGCAGGTTATGCTTTTTTTTGCTAAAAACAAAAAAGAAAAAGTATATATTTAGTTTAAAAAGTTCAAAAGTTCACATTAGGCACAACTTATTTTTCACTAATTCCTTAATTATTTAGTAATTTATTAATACTTTGTTAAGATTATACGGTGAACTGCAAGATTATACGGTATTATACGGTGAACTGTTTAATGGAGTATTACATTATTTAGTTTAATATAAAGGAAAAATAGAACGACAAGGTGAATAACATTAAATTGATTAGGAAAAAAGAACGAATTAAGATTATCGATCATTGAGTAAGGGATTATTAGAATTAAATGATGGTAGTGGTTGTTAAGAAGGGAAAAAATATGATTTACTACAATGATTAGATCCTAATGATAACCATTAAATAACTGATGATACCCCTAATAATCAATGATAGTTCCAATGTAATCAAATGATCAATGATACCTTAAATAATCAATGTATCATTGATAAAAGTTAAAGTGCAATATTTTGAGTAATTGAAAGATTAAATGATAAATAAGTTTTTCAAATGATTAGAAGTATTTTTATATTAATAAGTAATACATGTTTTTATCGTTTTCTCTCGGATATTTTAGTATCATTTGTGGGAAATAATAAAAAAAAAAGCAAAAAAACGAAACGGAAAATATCAAAAAAAATTTTCAGTTTTGATTTGGTAAAAAATGAAGTATTTGGGTTTTCAATTTTTTGATATGAAAAAAATTTTAATAGTTTTAAATATTTCAATTATTTTTTAGAAGTTTCGAGTATTTGGAGTTTTTGAGAACAAAAAAAAGTGTAATCATGTTTAATTAGTTTAGATTATTTAAGTATAAAGAAATAAATAAATGAAATGCAGAAAAAGAAAAATTGAAGGACATTTAAAAATTTTAATTCGCCTTTTTTTCTTTTTCTTTTCTTCACAATGGCATGGATCATATTTATTTCTCAAAAAAAAGAAAAATCATTTGTAAAAAAATATTTTTGAAATTTATATAAGTGAATTTTATAGAAAATAAGGGCGATAATAACGAAGAATGAATCAATTAAGAAAATTTTTAAATAAGTATAATTTTTGAATAAATAAATCATCTGAATAACTGTATTCTAGTAATTCTTTTTACAAATTATTCAGAAGAAAATTGTAAAATTAAACAAACAAAATTATTTTTTAGCTTATTTTTTACTTTCTAGTTTATAATATATAACTGTATATAACATATAATTGCATATGATATACAATTTAGCATATAATATGTAATTTGGTATATAATATATATTTAATATATAATTATGTCAATTATTTGGCTCTTTTTTTATAATTTTTTTGATTGAAAATGACATTTTTCATTAATTTATCTATTTATTACACTGATAACACATTACTCGAATTGAATTTTACAAGCAGTAAGTATGATAAATTTGTTAAAAAATCTTGTCACTTTTTCAAATCATTCAAAAGTATCATCTTTATAAAAAATAAAAGAAAAATGTAAAAATTTCGGGTAATTTAAACAAACAGTTTAATTTTTTTTAAACTTTTTCGGAATTTAATTGGTTGAACATTTTTATTAATGTATAATCTTTAATGATAGTTTCTTGAGAATTTTTTAAAAAATTTTTTTTTTATAAAAAAAAGCGAAACATGGAATGAACAATTGAAATGAGATGAGAAAAGTTTTAATTGCAAATTATTCGAGAAGATTCTTAGCTTAAATCTGCTAAGTTTTATGGTTAAATAATTAAACGATGAAAAGATTCATTCCGTTTATGTTAACCAAAGGTTAGAGGCTAGGAAACGTTGTTACTTCGTCATAAACTTCAAACAAAAAAAAATACAAATACAAAAAATAATGGTTGCCTAATTAGATTAAAATATTTGATAATAATATCATAGTGCTTAAATTATTTGATTTATTTAAAATTTTAATTCAAAAAAAATTTCATCGGTAAGTTTAATAGTTTGTTTTTGAATTATTTCAAAACGACGGTATTTTAAAATATTTTCCATTCCTTTTCTTTTCAGGAATTCGCTTTTTTTTTTGATTTTACTTTTTATCCAATAAATATTTATTTTGATGAAAAAGTCTGGAAAAAATAAATTGTACAAAAAAGTATGAAAATGTTTATTTTCCATAATATTATCCATCCATCAATTAACTTATACCATACCATAAAATTTGTTATAAAATATTTTGTCATATTTTTAAAAAAGTTATTTTTATTCTAAGATTTACTGCTAAAAAAATTAAAAATTTTTTTTTATTTTTTATAAGGAAATAAAAGAGGCAAATTTGCATAGTTATTTCATTTTAATGTCAACAATTCAAATGCAATACAATTTTATCGTTTGCTTTTCATTCTAAACTGTGAACGGTTAAGATAGATAAAAACAAAAACTAAAATTATAGAAAAGAATGCAATGATGAAAGAAAAAAGCGAATATTTCTTTTCTTGTTGCACATAACATTTCTTAAACTTTAATTTAAATTTAATAATTAATTACTGATGAACTGTTAATCACAAAATTTATAGCACAGAAATTGAAATAACGAATTGGTATTTATGATTTTATTGCTGTTAATAATAATGATAAATGATAATGAAATGCGATAAGGAGTGATAAAAATGTTAAAATTATTTAGCATAAGTTTAAATAATTTAAAAAAAAAATGAAAGAACA